GGGTGACCCACCAAGGCTGCTGCATATCCAGGAAGGCAGAAATTGGCACCAGCTGGGCAGCTATAAAACTGCCAAACCAACTTTTGGCCTCCAAGCTTGGTCACTGGTGGAGGTGGATCCCCCTTTCCTGAGAGGTCCCTCCCAAAGATCGTGTTCTCCTTCTCATTCTTCTTCATCTTCTCATTCTCCTCCTCCTCCTCTTTCTCCTCTTCCTCCTTCTCCTTCTCCTTCTTCTCCTCCTCTCTTTCTTTTTCTTCCTCTCCTCCTCCTCCTTTTTCTTCCCCTCCTCCTTCCTCTCCTCCTTCCTCTTCCTCCTCCTTCATTTCTTCTTCTTCTTCTTCTTCTTCTTCTTCTTCTTCTTCTTCTTCTTCTTCTTCTTCTTCTTCTTCTTCTTCTTCTTTTCTTCTTCTTCTACTTGTCTTGCTCCTCCTCCTCCTTTCTTTTCCTCTCCTACTTCTCCTCCTCCTTCCTCCTCCTTCCTCTCCTCCTTCTCCACCTCTTCTTCTTCCTCCTCTTCTTCCTCCTTCTTCCTCTTCTTCTTTTCCTCCTTCTCTTCCTTCCTTTTTCTTCCTCTTCTTCTCCTCCTTCCTCTCCTCCTCCTTCTCCTTCTTCCTTTCTTCCTCTTCTTCTCCTCCTTCTCTTTCCTCCTCCTCCTACTTTCTCTTCCTATTCCTCTTCTCCTTCTTCCTCCTCCTCTTTCTTCCTCTTCCTCTTCTTCTCCTCCTTCTTTCTTCTCCTCCTCTTCCTCTTCTCCTCCTCCTCCTTCTCTTCTCCTCTTCCTCCTCCTTCCTTCCTCCTCTTCCCCCCTGTTTACTCTTCTCTTTGCAGGGAAGGAAGGAAGACCATGGGGAGATTCATTTTTGTGACCTTCAGCTTGCTCATCATGGCCCTCTCCCTAAGAGGTAAGTTTGAGAAGGGTCCCACACAAGAGCTGAGACCCTTTTTCAGGGACCTCAGAGCTGAGCATCAAATGGGGGGGAGGGGATTCTTCAGTAGGACCCCTCCTAGGCAGCGGGCAGCAGTGGGCAGTCCCACAAAAATTAGCCACTCAGCCATTCAGGGCTTGAGCAGTTATGGATCACCCAGGAAGCCAGTGCATATCCTTCAGAAGAGACCCACTAGATCCCTGTCCCTTGCACCAGTCAACGGCCTGGTTCTGGAAGGAATCCATTTTCCGGCTCAGTACAGTTCAGTGAAGGAGAGACCAAGAAAAGCCGAGAGGTTCACACAAGACTAGCAACTTGAAGGGATTTAAGCAAGGCCAACCCTAACCAAGCTTTGGACTATCTGCAAATGCAGCCGCTCTGTCCGAGGCCAAGTCAGTTTCAAAGACGTTGCTAGCTCAGGAAGTTAGGCATGTTCTGCAGACCCAGCTGTCTCCCCCTCCTCCTCCTCCCCTTCTCCTGGCCATCTTCTCATTGGCTTTCTCTCTTCCCCCACAGGAGCCGAAGGCTATCAGTGTCCTGTTGATTGGTTCCCCGGGAACGGGCATTGCTATAAGGTCTTCGGTGAACTGAAAAATTGGACCGATGCAGAGGTTAGAAGGGCTTTTATCTTGGCCGAGGGGGAGGAGAAATCTAGGTGGAACCTTGAAGACCCTCAAAGTCACCCCTGGTTGGGCTGAAGTGGACGGCCACCAGGATGGGTGCATGAAAAGGGAACAAAGGTCATGATTTTAGAACAGTCTGAAATGCAAGTATTTTACAGAGTGGATTATGGTTTGGCCAGTATCTGTTGGGCAGAGTAAGAGGCTGGAGGCTAAAACATATGAAGAACGGTTGCAGGAATTGGGTTTGACTATTGTGGTGAAAAGAAGGACCAGGGGAGACATGACAGCCACCTTTCAATATCTAAGGGGCTCCCACAAAGAAGAGGGATAGGAATAGCAAGAGCCCTTAGACTTACCGTATATACTGCTCCACA